GAATATTATACTCAGTTGAATAGAGAACTAGATGAAATTTTCGATAGATTTCTATATTGGTTTATTGCATAGCTTATCTGAACTTTTTTTCGATTGATGGTTTTGATCTTCAATTATCTGAAAAATAGTGATTTCATTAGTTTCTAGTTCTTTAATCGAATGATTTTGTGTTTCATTTTGACATAACAAAAATCTTTTCTGCTATATAAAAGATTTGTTTCTAGAAGTATTTCATAGGTATAAACTTGGAAAGATCAACTAGTTAAGCATGTTACTGTCTAACATAGGCTTTGATATTGATTGTTTTCTACTAAATGATTAAAGATTAGATTTGCCAACCATCATTCGACATACCGATATTCCCAGTAAACTTGTGACAGATTTATTGTATAAGCAAATGCACCATCTATTACAGCGTAACAGATTTCATTTTTTCCAAATGATCGTCCCAATCTAAAGTACGAATGACATTTGGATGCGAGGTTTCGATTAGATAAGGCAAACCAGTCAGCCCTGACCAAAAAACTTTGTGAATTTTCTCCAGCTGCTGTTTTGTTGAAACACACAGAAAATGTTTTTTATTATTAATCATTTTTGCCAAATTTAATCTGTATTCATACGAAAAAAAAACAGTCAAAAAGTATGCTTGAGTGGATGTAGGCGTGGGTGTAGGTGAATGAAGAGAAGATAAACACCCACCCCAGTAGTAGATCGATTGTAGAGGCTTTAAGCTCGAAATATTATAATAATTTAAATAAAAAAATTGAAATTGAAAAAATTCTGGTTATTTATCATTCATAGTACTCTGAATATTCTTCATGTTTGGAAATAAAATTTATGCTTCATATATATTTATATATTGACTTATGACCATATCATTGTTCACAACTGAGACATACACCCATATCCTCAGTTCTTCTTAATTAAGTTGATAAAATTACAAACTCCTCCACTAAATAGTAAGTCAAAATATACAAAACTGCACAAATAATACAGTCTTATCTATACAGACAACTATTCTTTCAAATCAGTTCTAATTACTGTATGACATTAAAAAATATGTATCGTCAAAAAGAATTTATGCAAACCGAAAAACATATATTACTCTGAATGTCGATCAGAAAAATTTGCTTCTTATCTTCGTCTACTGAATGCTATCGAATTGAATTGCACTACTCATCAGCTCAACTCCTGTTGTTTATTGATTCTCCTTATCTATTGACTCAATCTAGCTTAATGACAAACCCATGTAAAACGGCCAAAAAAACAAATTAGTTAAAAAGAATCATCTATCATCAAGAATATATGTGGTATTTTGAGTTGGCTTACACTTGCCCCACTATCAATCGTCACAGTATTAGTCGTCTTGGAATTACAAAATGTCATGTTAACATAGATTATCAGAGTTTAAAGTAAAACATCAACTTCAATATATTTGCAAAAGTATTTTAAATCTGCAAGATCAATTTCAATCAGAACCGATCAATACACACAACATTTGACAACGTATCATTCTGGCCTGACTGCAGGTCAGGCAGGTAACTTTCGTACTTATTAATATTTGAAAACAAAACAGGTAGAGACATAGATCTTGAATAAATCAAACGAGAATAATATTATAGTGACGTTGCCGCCTTATTGTTGTTGTGTTGGTGTTTGTTTATGAATGATGTTTTGGTATGCCCTCGTGTCAACCCTTGTTAACTCTTGTCCTTTTCTTCGTTCCTCTATAGATAGCTTTGCGTCGCTAATTAGTTTATCGCTTACTTCTTCTTTCCTCATTTTTAGATTATATTCCTTTCTCTTTCCCGCGCTTCAAATACAGAGCAATGAATGATATAGAACAAACAGAAAATAAAAGATAAAGCTAGGACCGCTACAATTGCTTATTGGAATGAAAAGATTTGCATTCAAAAAAAAAAATTACATGACTTCTTAAAACACTGTTCGTGAAAAGTTGATGCCGTGTCGGTCGAAAAACTAAGGCCATGAATATGACACGTATTGAATTGGATCTAGAATGATGTTATCGACTAGAATTGAATGATTATTAGGCATTGATTATAATCAATTAGAGATGGATTTTCAATATGATTTTCGATTCATGTAGGATGGATTTTGGTTCAGTTACAAATGTATTTGGGTGTGGGTATGTGTCCAAGACATTACTCATCATCTAAACCCACACTCATCCTATTATCTAGCTGCAATAATTACAATAAATGTTACGGATACAATATATCAGTGTCTGACTCGGGTCGGCCAGGTCACAAAAAAATAATTTTGATTTCGGGATGTGTCTACGGTCTGAACATTTTGCAGATACAAAAGGCGTTGTGGATGTCTTTTTATTGAACAAGAAATGATGTAACGCATGATATTTCCTTCTACTTCACCGACTTTTCTACATTGATATCAAACAACGATGCATAGCAAGTGTACTGTCTGTTCGATGATGCTATAGAAGTCTCAGGTTGTATACATAAGAAAAAAAGGATAAATAAGAAAAAATTCTATTACATATTAATGCTGTTCTAGCTATAGAATATCGAAGAAATATTAAGGACAAAAAAAGGGGCCAAGCACATATTTCTTGTTGCTAGCTACAAAATGAAAGGAAGAAAAAACGATTGTGACGTTGATTTTCTCGAGAGAAAGAGAAATGGGGTTGATGCCAGAGTTCGATTCGGGTCAGGTCACAAAAATTTGGCCCATGTAGAGCATTGCAACATATGGCGTAGTAGATGACATAATTGTAACTGGAAAATATCAGATTGTCAACATCACAAAATGCTCGATACTCTATGTCGCACAGTATCAGACGATAAAATATTCTGTAAAAACGAGTAATCAAATTCATAACATTTTTTCAGATATATTCAACAAAACGTTGATGCGCTAAGAATGCGAAGATTTTCTGTATATTAATTCATCTTCCACTGTCAGAACATACACAACATTGGGTCTAGAACCATATCAGTATCCTGTATTCTTAAACGACGACAAACGGCTAACCATTGACATTCTCGCATCTTCTTACAAAGCTCTATATTCAAATATTTGAAGAAATATGGTGTCTTTGATTTATATTGCCGAACACTATACCCTGTACATCGGTTGTTTTCTTTTTCTAATGGGTATTTTTGGCAATTTCATGATTCTATTGATATTTTCAATGAATCGCCATTATCGTACAACACCATGTACCTTCTATTTTCTCATTGGCTCTGTACATGACATGCTTCTTATTCTAATTGTTCTCGGTTTACGTTTAGTGGCTATTGGTTTTCATGTTGACTTGACTCAAATTTCAATCGCATGGTGTAAAGCTCGATACTATTTTTTCTGCACTTGGGCTGGCATATTGTTAACTTGTCAATGCTTAGCAACACTCGATCAATATCTTGTCACATCAAGAAATGCTCGTCTTCGTCGCTTGAGCTCTATAAAGAGTGCTCATCGAATTGTTGTAGTGACCCTAATTGTCTGGTGGATACATGGTATATCATGGTTGATCTATCAAGACATGTCACCAATCACCGGCAAATGCATATATATTAATTCGATTTTTCATCGTTATGTCGTTTTTTTTGGTTTGGTCAGTCTTTGTTTGCTTCCAAGTGTGTTCCTAGCCATATTCGGATTTCTGGCCTATAGAAATGTATCCCAAACGAAGACTCTGAGTAAACAAAACACACATCATCAAATGACAATCATGGTTTGTTGGCAAATCTTCCCGGTCATTTTGAGTGGAATATTTAATGGTGGCTGGAATATCTACGCACTCGCTACTTATGAAACGATAAAGAGTGATGATAGATTGCATAAAGAAGATTTGTTTCAATCAACAATTGCTCTCTTGGCATATTTGGGAAGTTGTGTAAGTATTACACACATGATAAGTAAAAGAAAAATGATATAATCGATTTTTTTATATTTGAATAGGCAAGATTCTATTTATTCTTGGTTGCTTCGAGTCGCTTTCGTCAAGTAACTAAGCAATGGATCTGTTGTCGACGATCAGATCACCAAGCTCCTTCCAGTGCTAATGTAGCTGTGGTGAAACATGACCGACAAAATGACTCACCACATTAAATTACTTATAATTGAATATATATATTCGCTTATTTTTTATAAAAAAAGACTCCTTTAGTTCCTGTTCCGATTGAGAAAATCTCATTCAACAAGTTTCACTGACATAATCGACAAGATATTTATCATCGAAGACCAGTAGTGACTGCTGATGCGTGATTCAAACGTTCATAAATAATAGCAAGAACTCTCACAGATAAAAACTGTTTCTATCTCGCTCACAACCATATTAATTGATGACGAATGATTCAAGGTGCAACATATTCTAGCATGATTATTTACCATAACTACTGAGCAGACATAAACTACAGTACAAGTTCTATTGCTAAATTCTCTTCATTGAATAGACAATCGACTTGAAATATTTTGTGTTTAGCATCGAAAAATGCAATGAGATAATGTTAATTTTTTTTGGATTACTTATTAATTGTTCATCCTGTTGATTAGTGTCACTAGAAAAATCTTCTCAACTTTTTGAGCAATATATGATTTCTTGTGAGAACCATATCACACGTGTTNTTTTTCTTTATCAGACTATATAGAAAGAAAGTTACTTAAAGCTTATCATAAGGTATTAAGGTATCACTCTACGAACTTTTGGTATGCCCTAAGTATATACGAATATGTCGTTCGTAAAAACACACTTGTTTAAGTCATTTTAAAGTTTTCCCTGCTACACGTTAGCAAAAGAAGAAATAAGTGGTCAAGATTTAGAACAAATCAACGGATATTGTTACTGACCATGATAGGATCATTCGAACATCTATGATCAAAACAGAACGAATCTGGTGGGCCATATCGATTAGGTAAAACACCAGTAAATATCCAACTGTTGCGATCTGAAATTTTGATAGATTTTGAATTTATCGTTTAGTTCAATTTAGATTCAAACTACTATCATTTATTTTTCACTCACCTAAATTAGAACTTGCTTTCCAAATCATTTCCATCGTTTTTGTTTGATAACATGTTGCATAATCTTCATAATCAACACGACCAAGAAACAAACCATCAAAACCCATCTAAAATCAATCTATTCTATGAAAATACTTAAATACTTCTAAGAAATTCACTTGTGCAAAAATTGAAGCTTGTTCACGTGAATGACCAAATGGATCGATTTGCCAACCGATTTTTGGTCGACCACATCCAACAAATTGATCACGTAGTAATTCAGCACCTAAGCTATGTTGATCAATAATAGCACTGTAATGAGTTGATGTTTCATCATTCATACACCAACCACGAGAAATAAATTCAAGACGACCTTCGAACAAAATGCTTCATTTTGTAAAAGAATATAATTTGAAGAATTTTACCTTCGTTAACAAATTTTTTCACTTTATTTTGCATATCTTTAGTTTGATGATTCCACCAACGCCAGAAAAAGACTATTTCAACATAAATGAAACGTCGATCAGGATTTTCGTCAAGTGCATGCATAACCGAATCAAGTTTATATTTTACTCCAGCATGGTGAATATAATTGCGGGCTTAATAGAAAGAAAAATATATATACATAGTTTTCATGAAGTAATCGTTAAGTAAACGGTGAAAAAATTTTTGTATCATCAAACTTTTCAATAACATGCTATTCTAATTACTTTTACTGTTATTAGGTGACGTCGGTTCAAACAAATTTCTGATATATATCAAGTAATAACAAAGTTTAAGTTTTGTTTTTTTGTTACTTTTTATTGACCTTATCAAGTTTTGTTTTGATGCGATAACTTTAATAAAAAAAAATACAATTTATTCGTTTCTTAACTTAAAACTCGTGAATATTTCAGAAAATCTTCAAAAAAGATAAAAAAAATAATGTTTATATATTTCATGAATAATCTTGTTATTATAGAATATATTATAATTTATCATGTAGTTGAAGCTCTACAGAATATAACAAAACAATTCGAAATATATTTACACACATCCATAGTAATATTGATCGATTGTTTTCAGCCATCCAACATCATCATGTGTATGTGCAACGATATGAACATTGAGCTTATTTGGATCACCTAAATTGCATGCCTGAAACAAAGACCATATTTCATGAAACCGAAAACCGTCTTTTCGAACTGTCTTACATCATAACCACATCCTGTGTATGACTTGATCGAGACTGAAAAGCAAGTAGCAACAAGAACAAATATGAATTCGCAGTATGTTGAGATATCCATTTTTAAAACAACCATAATTTCAAAGAAGCAAACAGTTTGTATTCAAATATAAAATGATTATTCAAACTTACAATATACGATCAACACAATACAGGAGGTCAGTGCGTCTAGTGCAGTTTTATTTAAAAATGGATCTACAAGCTGATGTGGCTATTAAGTTCGTGTGAAAAAGATATTATCACTGAAATTTGTTTTGCACGTCAGTTGTTTTTTTTTATAATGGTAGCAAAGAAAACTGCATACGGACACAGAAAGACAGAAAAAATAGATAATAATATAAGACTTGACGATATCTATGGCAAAAATATTTTCAGTTCGACAAAGTAATAATTTATAGAGAAATTACAATAAAAAAATGAGACATAAGTTCTATACCTTTAATAGATGTCTATTCATACTACAGTTCTAATTATGTTTTGAGTGATGGTGAGCGAGAGTAATGAATGAAAGTCACGAAAAGATGAAATGAATCCGTTATATATAATTATCAAGTATGATTTATGTATAAAATATATCGAGACTTCAATCAATCCATATTATTATCCGAAATCACAAAGAACTTGGGTGGATNAAGAATTTTTCCTCCAACCCTATTTTACTCGGCTAGATTGCGCTGAAATGCTGTTTGTTTCGTTCTTCAGCTAGACAGAAAAAGAACAATGAAGACTGTGACGTTGTTTTGTCACTTCAGATGTGCAGGTTCGGTTGGTGTCCACGCTATTAACAAAAAACACCACAAAGAAGAGCATGTTATCACTTACAGTCGCCATAGTCGTTCTATTTATAACAGTCATATGCTACTACGTGAAATATGTCTATTTCACATTACGTGGCCCAATACCTGGTATTCCACCTCAGTTTCTCTTGGGGAATTTGCTACAGACAGGCATAATCTGGCGAGATGAATCCGTGTCCAATGTGTTTCTGAAGCTCAGCGCCAAATTTGGTGATGTCTTTCAATACTGGTTCAGTTCTACACGCATCATCGTCGTCAGTTCTCTCGAAGATATTCAACATATTTTTTCCCATCGACATGTGTACGATCAAGGAGACGCGTTTGTCCAAAAGCTCAGTCTTGTCAATCCAAGTGAAATCTCTTGCTTAAGAGGTTAGAAGAATAAATGAACTATCCTTTTTATTCGACCTAAGAAAACTTAAAGACTCGTCTCTCTCTCTCTCTTTCTCTATTAGTCTCCAATGAATATAAAACTAATTTGACTTATAGGAGCCAAATACAAGCGTCACACAAGTGTCACCAATTCATTGTTTCGTGGCAGTAAAATTTTCATGCATTTAGATACAATTATCGATTGTACCGACAAATTGTTAGCTCGATGGCATCAAAATGATGATCCAACTAAAGTTCATTTGAATATGATCGAACAAACAGAACAACTTTTATTTGCGATTTTTGGTTTCATTGGATTTGACTATGATCTGCAAACACTCGACAATGATTGTGAAGAGGGGAAAAAAGAGCTTGTTCGTGCAATGGGTACATTTATGAACACAGTAGTCAGAATTGTGGAAATGCCAATAATCGTTTGTCGTATCTATTTGTTATTGAATTTTGAATATCAACGAGCACGTGTAATTATCGATCAATATATACAACGAATTATCGAACAAGAATTGGCAGAAACAGCAGATATAAGAGTCGAACGTAAGAGAACAAGTTTAATCGCTTCACTGGTTTCTTCATTGCAACGAGACGAAAAAATCGAAATGACAAAATCCGAAGAAGACAAGAAAGGTATAATAGCTGGTCTACCTCATATTTACAAAATTACTTTTTTATTTATCATTCTAATTGTTTTATTATTTATAATATAGGTCTTTCACGCGATGAAGTAATGGGTTTAATGCTTTCGTTTTTTTCGGGCGCCTATACGGCGGTAGCAACTGTATTGGTTTGGTTCATTCATCTAATGAGTAAACATCCTGAAGTACAGGCGAAGATCAAGAAAGAATTGGCTGAATACAATCTTAAACGTCTTTCAATTGAACAACTCGATTCACTCATCTACTTAGATTGTGTTCTTCGCGAAGTGCTTCGCTTTGTACCAACCTCAGTTGGTTCTATTCGAACACTTACTGTCGACGATCGATTACCAAAGAGTGGATTTCAATTGAGAAAAGGTGAACAAGTATTTATTTCATTCTATAGTTTAGGACGAGACAAACGTTATTGGTCGGATCCTGATAAATTTTATCCGGAACGATTTCTCAACGAATCCGAGGAAGGCAATAATAATAAAGCAGCCTTGATTCCCTTCGGTGGTGGCCATCGTCAATGTCCCGGTCAAGATTTGGCTCGATTTGAACTTAAAGTCATTTGTGCACGACTCATGCAACTTGTGACATTTGTCGATGGTGGACCCGAAGTCAATTCAGGTGGATATAAACAGAGAGATACAATAAAACCAAAATATATCGGTGTCGCAATTAAATTCGACTGAAAATGTTCAATACTGTATTGTCCATAGTCTTCTGGGAAATTTTCTTTTCAACATTTTTATCAATGCATTATACTGTAACAGAAGAGCTTTTTTCGAATTAATTGCCAATCGCTGTTTAGTACAATGATTCTTCGGTTCTCAGTTCGTCATAATTTAATTCGTAAAATGTGGCTAATTGTTGAAGATCATCAGGCAAAAGATTATCTTTTATCAAGAACAATTTTTCACATAGAATGACTATACCAACATTGTTTTTATCGAATCTGTTTTCAATAGCCGTGATGATTTGATCGAGCACAGCGTAGAATGGAGATTCTATTCTCTAGGATCTTGTCAGAGTTCTACGAATATGCCACAGAAAAATCAATATTTGCAGGTCATTAAACACTGTCAGTTTTCGACAAGGATCGTATAGAGTCCTAAACAAAAAGGAATCTAGATTTCATCATTGACGACAACTGATTTGAATTGGAAAGGTAACAGTGACCCACTGCTCGTATATTTTGACAAGTGACTCTACTTAACAGTCAGACGTGGTTAAATTTCGGCTAATATACATTGAATGCTTGATCACTTGACAGAACTAGTCCTGAGTGTTTGAATCCTTTTCTAAATCAATTACAGGAGCTATCCAAAAATCCAAGTTTCTGTGTAAAGGAACGTTTCTTTTTGAGGAAAACATCTTGTGTGACAAAAAAAATTTGATGAAAATCCATGTATATTGCTCTCCTTCATATTAATGCATGGTTCCTATTCTACTGCCACTGCAAAGTCGTTGAATCGAGCAACGGTAGGCGCGTGTATTAGCCTTTGCAACAAAGTATATCGAGTGTAGAATCATGTGGCCTATGCAGGAGAGAAAATGCATGCCAGTGTATCAAAGTGTGGGTTGGGTGTCGATGTGTAGTATAGTCAACAGTTCATTTCAAGCGTAATGACACCTGCATGACTTTTGAAAATTCAGCATATATATTTTCTCGGGCAAGATCGTGGGAATAAGTGAGATAACTATAGAAGCCAGACAGCCAGTGGTCGAACGCATCTCATTTATGAGTCACTTCCATCGGATATCAATTCGTTTATCTCTGAAAGAAAGATATAGATGTTTGTTCCTTTTGACACTATTCAAGAATTTCGCTGAATTCAACAATATTCTGATAGATACACAGCAAAATATCCTTCTACTTTTATACACTTAGTTGATCTATCTCACCATCACGTAATATTCTCAATGTACTGTCAGAACACTAAACATCAAAGCATCAACAATCGAACTTAATTTTCTTAGGTTGAGTCATGAATCTATGGTACTGTTCAAATCAAAGTTTTGCTTGAATCGGACGTAAATAATTTGGTAAATGTCACTTTTTCTACCGTTTTCTTAATTATGACGACTTTCTTTAGTGGTGTTGACTGATTATGAACATTACTTCAAATACCAATGGGTAAAGAAAGTTTCTCTGATCTTGAATTTTTTCTTTGCAATCTGATAATGTTGACATAAAGAGCATGTATGTGTCCGAGAAGTGGAATTTTTTTCATATAGTACACGACACTGTAAGCAAAATTACACTAAAATAGTCAAGGCGATGTGAAATGGGAACCTGAGTGTAGATTGTCTCTTTACCGACACAGTCACAATGTAATTCTAGAATTAATTCCTAATACTTCTCGAATGGCATACGCTGGTCGACATATAAATGAAGATGCATACGATTTGGGGATAAAAGTGTTTTGTTTGATCATCATTGTGCAATAAGATTCGATTCGAATTACAGTGTGAAAATTAAAAATAAATCATTCGAAATGAATTATGAAAATTGATTCACTTTCACTGAATTCTATGCATTCTAAAACAGAATAGCATAAGCATAGAATATATGCAAGACGTCATAAATAACTTCAGTTATTCTCATTGTTGATTCTTAAGTAACACAACCAATGTATTCTAGGAATCATTTTTAATGCAAAAAAATTTATTTTGAATATATCAAAAGAAATTTTCAATAATGCATGAAAGAATAATGTACAAAAGAAATTAAAGAAAAGTATCTGTGGTTCAATCATTTGATGCAAAAATAAAATAGTGTCAAAAAAAGGTTAATGATACTGTGGAAGAAATATGATTGGATTTGAAAAGGAATACTATTATAAGGAGTAAACTACTATATCATTATCAAATAAAGTTAAATTATACGTATTAGTAAACTGACTAGCATCGGCTAGTTGAGTATATTGGTACGATGGAGATTCATGTAAATGGTGGTTTTCGTTATTTAGAGCCAAGTATAAATCAGAATCATGCATGCATAATAGTGATAATGAAAATCAGAAAAAATGACGAAGAAGAAGATAAATGATCAAGAGTCTAAAAGAAGTTATGTTTAATAAAAAAAAAATACGCTAATGTTAAAGGATTTTTTATCAGCATGTTAGATACGGTGTTCTTGTCATTTTTTCATGTTCTAAGCTTAAAGTAGCATAAAAGGTAACAATAATGAGTGATGTCAGTGAAAAGATTCTTTTTTCCAACGAGAAAAAAAGAAATGCAAATTGCACTGAATTCGTTTGTTAAACTCACAATGTTTTTCGTCATTGGATTAGCCCATTTGTAAACACATTTGAATAGAAAGCAATTTTCATTTTTTACGTGCAAATTGCTTATCATTATTCTAATTGTTTGATTGTTTCTTTCTTTTCTTGCAAAAGTAAAACCCACTAAGTTATAAATATGATTATAATTTATATTTAGATTGCTTTTTATCATAAGTATTCTGGATAGAATACATCGAATCATTAGTTTTTTTTTCAAATGAACTACGATTGTAAAGAGTAATAATTAAGGGAAAATGTTTAGTATGAACTATAATCAGTCATTTATTCTCAATCGCTCAGAGTTTTTCTCAATATTTTACTAGTCAAGGACGTTATCTTAATTTTAACATTTTTGGTCAATTTGACGTTTTTTTCGAATCCAATTAAATGTCATGAAGCACGATGTCGCATAACTACGTAGTCATTGTGAGTTCTTTGCCTAGAAATTTCTTCTTCAACTATTGTATATGAAATATTGTTCACAAACGGAGTGTGAGTCCAAGCAATACCAAAACGTCAAATTCATTGGATCAATTAAAATTGAAAAGCAATTCACTAGGTTGAAGTCAATAAAATCTTGTTGAGAATAGAACGATAATTTTTACAGGAAATATCAAGCCCGGCTAGCTCAGTCGGTAGAGCGTGGGACTCTTAATCTCAATGTCGTTGGTTGGAGCCCCACGTTGGGCGAATCTTTTTTGCCTGTTTTTATTCCAGTTCCTTAAAGATCGTCAAAGCTGAAAAAATTCTTGTCTATTTAGCTATCAATACAAGCGACTATGATATCATCATGACTCATACAATCTGTAATTCTTTATTATGATTCAAGTCTTACACAAAAATGAAGAACTCTCAAACGCGTGTGGGTGTGCAGACTGTTCGTCTGAACAAGCACTCATATGCAATATCCACATCCACACCCACACCCACCCACACCCACACACCCACACCCACACCCACACCCACACACCCACATCACCCACACCCACACCCACCCACACCCACACACCCACACCACCCACACCCCACCCACACCCACACACCCACACCCCAGGCTAGGCAGGCTGCTTGGAGTAGACAGGCCGCCTGTCTTTCATGTTTTTTCAAATTTTTATCAAAAAGCTTCGTTTTTCGAACAGGAAATGGAGATACCAAATATAATACGGAGAATCTCTAATTCTCGAAGATAAGAAATGAATTTTATCATTTGACTGAAGAGAATGATGACTAATAATAGACTGTGACTACACTATTTATTGTTCATTTATGGGTGTGGGTGTGAATAATCAATTGATGCTTTTGGTTCTAAAATGAATTGATTTGTACTATTAAAGCGAAGAGGTTTAAATTTAAACAATCAAAGAATGACAAAGGTATTTTTCAATTATTTTATTACAACACATATGAAATCAACGATGGCAAACAATAAACAACAGTAGATTATTAAATAAATGAACTAATGAAAAATGCTTTTATCATGCAACAAAATAAACAAACGAAGCACAATATAATAAAACCGATAATCCAGTGGAAGATGAGATTTTTATTGTCGTGAATTGTCAAGCAACACAAGTGTCCCATGAGAGCATGCAAGTAACCAGATAAATAAAGAAGAATTGATCGAATAGGATCGTGATAAACAACAATCTTCTCTTCCATCTAAAATCGATTTTTTAGTACAACGAATGAGAAAATATCTTGATTTGAATATCTATGAATTTAGCCTTTGGTATGAACGTCAATTGAAATGGATTACCAACAACATTCAAAAATTTAATATACTTTGTTGTATTACAATTAGCTCTGGTATAGAAGCAGCTAGCAATCTACGATTTTCAGCATGGGAAAGAGAACAAATCACTTTATTAATGATGGTCTTAGAAAGTTTTCCATTAAATAACTGACTTTTAAGATAGTCATTTAATCGAGAAAATTAAGAACGGGTCTCTCTCTAAGTGACCCCATTGTCAAGTTATAAACATTGCTCTGAGACTATTGAAAATGTTCAGTTGATCATTGGTCAGTCTGAAATGAATTAATACAGACGACGTTGACCATATTGAAGTAAGTGATGATATATACTTTCTTTTTGAAAGCGACATTAAAAAAGCAAACCAAAATTTCAAAATCGTCACTTTTACTAAAACATTGCACTGGATCAATGAATTTTTCTAATATTAACTTGATAACTTCGTATTGTTTTATAAAAAGAAAATTAACATCATTACTTGTTTCATCATGATCAAAGCCTTGTGTATCAACTCATTTCAAATTGCTTCTATATTCGAGTTATTTAAGATACAACAAAGTTCATTAGCTTTTCGAATAGATATAATAGGTACTAAAGTTGAGGTTATGATGAAAACTGAGATAAAGCTCATTACAATCTTAAAAATGAATATGCAAGAGTGTTAAAAAAAATTATACGCTGTTTAGATGGATTAATAAAAATTCTATCGAGTACAGACAATCAAAACTCTCAAGATAAATAATTACGAATCATTTAATTACAACACTTTTCTTATTACTTGAAAGACTAAACTAAGTAAAAAGTTTGATTAATCAATCGCGATAAGTCACACATTTTACATTGAATTTTAAAAAAGACTTTCAATTATTCATACAAATAGACTCACTTTATCTGCAATCATTGATTTCCAGTTGTCAGAAAAGATATAGCCAATGATGATAGATATTAAAATAAAGAAGTAACAAAAAATATATGTAGACGGTCGATCAAGATGTTTGGAGAGTATTGAACCGACTGGAGTAAGATATGTAAGTGAAGCACTACCAAATATTGATGGAGAAAGAAGTGAATGTAATGCGATGCCTGACATCATGTAAATCCACATGTGAATTACAATATTATGTAGATGAGCGATCAAGACAATGGTAATGAATATGGAAAGATGTGATGCTTGACTCAACATGAAATCAAGACGATGCCACTCGTTTTCTAATCGTTGCGCCCAACTAATACTTGAAATAAGTTTTGGATGTGAAATATCTATCCGATTTTCAATCCATACATGAAGACATGAATCTTCTAAACGATAAGTTTCATTAATGATCGTTTTTACCTTTGACCATAAACTTTGTTTGTCATTATTGGATAATGATTTGAAAATGAATGATGCATTTGATAACCGTTTGAGTCCATCGATTAACGCAATCATATCATCTACTCTTCGGATCGATACATTCAATTGTTGAATACATGGAAACAGACGACAAATTCGACCGATAATATAATGATTGCTAATAACATAATGATTACAGATGGTAAGTTGACGAATTTGTTCAAGTCGCATATTTCGAGTTTGTTGAAAGAAATCGGCAAAATTTTGATCGGCACTCTAAAAACATTCATACAAGTAAAACGAATTTAATTATATAAGTTTTCATTCTTTTTCACTTTTAAAAAGATCTTTATTCAATTAATAAATCTTCTTATTTCTCATAAAATTGATTGATTTCGAGTAAAATGAATTAGAGCAGTTCGACCGAAAAAACTAAATGTCATCATTGACCTGGAAACGATGGAGAGACTTAATTTAATCTATTTATCTGACTCGATTGAAATATTTGACAGTGATTGGAAATAAAGTTTGGAAACAAAAATCGGATTTAACAAGATAAAGTTTCAATTAGAATCTAAGGTCAATCTCAATAATTAATTCATTGTCAAAAATGATCATTTTAGTACTTGTTTGATATTTTCTTCAAATCTAGTGAATAACATAGGTATAATATCTTAATAGAACATTTTTTTTGCAATTTCCATGCTCTATCACTGAGTATAATGTTCAAAAACTTGGTTCAGCTAATATCAACGTAATCTATTCAATTTTTCATAATTCTTTTTTTTTATAGTAAAGATTAAAGAGTGCTCAAAAGTTATCCAAGACCTATTATTCAATAGAACAATAATAAACTTATATCTGACTAATAATGTTTTCAGTATGTAAATATTTAGTATCATCGGACCTGAAAACAATTAATCTTACACTGCTAATTGAGAGGTTTTCAAGACGCCGCATATTCTTGAAAAGGAATGTAATATTTTTATTTTTGATCGATGATGGTAACAATAATGTTTTTATTCCATTTAAATCAGCGACGCCAGGAAGAGATGTTAAGTCAATATTAGCAGCACTATTATGAAGTTCTAATGTATTAATATTCATGAAACGATGATGCGTTTCGATTATTTTGTTAATTAATGTTAGTTTAGTAACATGTTGATAGATAATTGCATTATTAGAACACGTCGAATGTTTAGGTAATTGAAAATATTCATCGGCATCAGTTTGAACAAAATGAGGTATTGTAAAGAAAAACATTTTCTTGTAAGCAACAAACCAACGTTTCTCTATAAGCCAGTATTGAGTACGAAATGAATCGAGAGTTTCTGGAATTGAATTAAGTTGAATTTCGAAACAAAATTTGAGAGTAACGAAACATTTTGATAATATTTCCCATCGATATGCATTAGCAAGATCAGCAGAACCAACTGCTGATAATTCAAGATGTCGAAGATGTCGAAGTTTTGACAACATTGCTTCTACATCATTCATAGACAAGAACCAGCCTATAAATTTGAATGAAAAAATAAATTAATTATTCAAATATACATACATAAATTTATTCATATAGACAAAAAAATACAATACTCACAGAAGTTTTTCAGAACAAGATGAGTAAGTTGAATGAACTCGAATTGAAATTGAACGTTTTCAAATATCAAACGTTTTAGTTGAGGTAGTTCATGGATGATGAATGGCGACCTATTTAATTTATTGTTGCATGAAAGTGAACAGAGCCGATCGAGTTCATGTAAATGTAAACAGATAAATTCCAATGATTTTTTTTCTATATGAATTAATGTCAAAGATCGAAGTTTAACGAATTGTTTGATTTGAAAACGAGATAAAAAGAGTTCGGATTGACCAGGTGTATCATTGTCATCTGATAATGTCAATGTAATTACTCTTTCAGGCGAAATATGTTGACAAACGAGATCAAAATAATACTTGCTAATCGATTTGAAATTAAGTCGATAATCCGAATAAGATATTATTGCGGCATCGAGATAAGTACTAATGTCCAAGAATGTATAGAAAATTTCATGAGCCAAAAAATAGGAGACGAGAATGTGCAAAATTTCTACAGGCAACATGTCAAATATAGATTGATTCATCTTTCAATATGATATTTTTTCTAGAATATAATTTTCAAAAATCAATATAATAGTAATTAAAATATTGGCATCAAATTCTGATTAGTCTTGTCACAACTGCTTGTTCACAAGGTAAACCCTACTTCGGTCGAAAACAAAAATGTCGATTGATAAAAGTATCGAAAGATTAATATGCGGGTGTGGGTGTGGGTGTGAATGTCAGGAGGTATAAACGAAGAGAACCCACACGCCACGCCCACCCACCCATACCCACACCCACCACACCCAGATGAATCCGTAGAATACAACATAGTGTATATTCATCAAAATATTACTACTAAATATCCTAGAAATTTATATACACGACACGCGTGTTCTTGTTCACCTCTGTTTAACAAAGACACATGTTTCACATAAGTATAGAATGGTGACGTAATCAACCAATAACAATGATTACGACATCATTATACGATTTCAAGTGACTGATAGTGTCATCTTCGTTTTCGTCATCGAGTGGTTATGTTTCCATATTTTTCTTAGTAATTTTAAGCAAGAGAACTATCATAAGGACAAACGTTTTGACTTTCGGCATCTTTACTATGTATTTCATTACTCGAGACATCGATATTTTTACATTTCGACATTTTCCTCTCTCAATTTTTTTGTACGTTTTCCTTTTCGACATTTTTCACCAAGATCGAGTCCACAGTGCATATTTCACCCAGTTTGGCTGATGATGTAAGCGAGCTTTCGAAAGAGGTCGTATGCGGCTGAGATGATTTTCATGCAATTCAATGACTGTTTGCTCTGATTCTTTTCATTTTTTGCCCTATTTCGATAAGTACAAGGTTCGGTTGACATTGACTTTGTGTTCTAACGTCAAGAACTTGATATTTAAGCTAGTCGAAATACAAAGCTGAGTATTATTCGGCAAAGTACTTGAAAAACAAGAATCTCATATTCCAAACTAGTCAAATTCTAATCGTACTCATCGGTATCAATTCATAAATACGTGTAAAAATTTATCAAATTTACTTTGTATTCGAAGAACTACGTGCAATCATTTATTTAAAAAGAAATCAAAAAATATATATGTGGCATGGAATCCCATGTGATTCGAAACGGCTGAATATTTTTTAAGTCTGATAAAACCAGTAGAATTTCGCGAAATTTGGTGTTCTCTTATAATGTCGATGCGCCTGAACCGCCTGTACTAGCCACAGTGCCCAAATCGGTCCCAGGGCTGAAATCAATTTTTCATTATAGATGACGCTGCAAAAATGATTATTATTGAAAAAAATTGTAAAAATATTTTTTTCTCCATAATTTTGAGTTGTTTTTCATAATAAAGGGTGTGGGTGTGGTTCTGGGTCTTTCATTCACACCCACACCCAACGATCTACATTTCGCTTACCAAAGATCGCCGAGTAGAAAAATGGACAAAAGGAGCATCACACAGCGAGCAGGTGGACGGTGAATGCCGTGGATGTTATGGTGTAGCGGTTGACAAAGAAAAAAATGTCTACATGGTCGAGTCCGATAGACATCAGGTGGTGAAATGGTCGCCTCGAATGAATACGATAACTATTGTGGCTGGGCAAACAGATGTGACAGGATCGACGAGCAAATATCTTCGTGCTCCTAACGGTACTTATGCCGATCGAATCAGTGCTGCATTGTATGTTGCTGACACGCAAAATAATAGAATTCAGAAGTGGTCAAGCAGTGCGCAAGACGGTATCACGGTAGCTGGATCTAGCACGTCTGCACCAGATGCTGACGCTGAATCCTTAACAGCTCCCTATGGCATTTTTGTCGATGAACAAACAGAGGTTTTGTATGTGGCTGATACAGCAAACAACAGAGTACAACGTTGGATCCCAAATGCACTTCAGGGTGATACTATTGTCGGAGGCCAAGGTATGAACATAGTTTTCGCCACGTCACTCCAATGAGAAAGAAGAGCAGAGAAAGCCGAAGTCAGATTTCACAATTTGACGTCAATGATTAGCCCAGAGTTTTAATGAAAGCAGCGATTGAAACTAAAGTAACTCATACTTTGACTCGAATAAAATCGAAGTTGCGTAATTAGTCGTCTGGCAACAAAACCAATATTAGTGTCTAACCTTGACCGGTTTAACTTAACAGAACTTTTTAATTCCTTGCACTCCCGCTGTTGTCGTGTTGCACGATAAGGTTTCTTTAGGTAATCGAAAGGAGAGCCTGTAAATTCTTGATGATTAAACATTTATCGCAGATTACGAGAAAAATCTTGCATCCCATTGATATGAATTTAAGGGTTCCGAGTAGGATCCGAATAAATCTTGATCTTTATCATCCGTCTTAATCTATGTTTTACAAACAACTTTCTGTAAAGAAAATTTTTGAAGGACGAAAATTGAGTCAAAAGGCAGTGGTAGTTTATAAAGAAAATGCAGTACAGGGTTTTACAAATGGAGGATTCTGACAAATTCTATGGTTTTGTCGAGAAAACAAGATTAAAGTTCGTCTTTTACGTAACGATAATGGAAAACAGGTTCGGGCGATGCACCAAATCAATTGAACACACACCTACTGATGTGGCATTAGATGGTGAAGGAAATCTGTACGTGTGCGACACCCAGAATAATCGTATACAATTATTTTTGATAATTGACAACAGTCCATGTACGATGACGTCGACAGGTAGTTTTCAATTTTATTTTGCTCTGCTTTTTACAATATTTTTTCTTTGTTAATGATAACAGCAAAAAGTCAAGCAGTTTATTTACACGTCGATCAATATTACAGAAAAGGAATGATTATAGCAATTCTGTGGATTTTAACATGAACTATTTGAAGACGACTTTGATAACTTCTCTAGCTCGTATTAACAATGAACATAATGCATTATGTTTCATCGTATATCCTTTTAAATGAACAATAATCTTTCAATTTGATCTTTCACTTCTTTATAAACAAAATTCGTCATAGACAAATAAGACAATTGGGTGTGGGTGTAGGGTGGGGATGTGAGTGGGTGGTGGTGCGGAATGTGGATGTGGCTGTCGGTGTGGAGTGTAAACGTGAATGCAACAAGCACTTACGCGCACTCTGCCCGCATCCCACGCATTCACACCATCCCACACCCAGTACAAAGAATTATTTTCGTTTCAGCCAAATAAAATCAAGGAAAGAAAAATAAATTTATTTTATATTAGCTTTCTTCAAAATGAATTTTTTCTTTTTGATAGAATATTGTGATTATTTTTATCTCAAATTCAAGATTACAACGAAAACAATTTTTTTCTTTGATTTTCGAATTCAAACAGAAAATTTTCATGAAAATAGAGAAAAAAGTTTCATCTGATACAAAATACGGATGGAAAAGAAAAAAGATTTATTTGTGCTAATTTATGAATATAGATAGATTCGATAAAAAAACTAAACAAGCTTTCATTTTTCTTTTGTTCAGTTTTTATAATCTTCGAATGATGTTCATGCTCAAAGTTCAATGGACGTTTTTTAAGTAATCTCTAAGAAAATAAATCTTGGAATTTATTTCATTTTAGTTGTTTATTCTAATTTCATCTAAAGACAAAATCATGAATCCCACTCTGATAATCTGTGACAAAAATTTGGACAGATTGTGTGTTTTGATCTTAAAAGAAGAATTGAACGAAGTAATACTTGTTACTTTACCGTGAGTAAAATATATTCAATGAGACAAACTTCACAAAATTATAGAAGTTCGGTACTCTAGATGTTTTTTTTGTAATTGATACTTTTTTATGTTTCTCACATGGATATTGTCTACAAACACCGTTTCATCAGTGATAAAAGAATCAGCTAATTTATTCAAAATATGGTGGATATATTCTATTTTTCCTTCGGTATAGTCATTTGTGGATCACCCTATATGTGGTTATTGACAGAAAAAAAAGCTAAGGTGCTGTTATAAAAAAATATTCCTATTTTCTCTTTTTTAAGGCTGCACTTCTGCATGCAGTTGCATGTACGATGAATATTCAGGTCTACGAAGAAGAAAAAACAATACCATACATTTTTTTTCGTTTGTTTGTCTCCTCAAAAAAGTTAAGCCATTTGTTTTCGGAGTGAAAAATCAAAATGAAAAGAATTTCCTCATAGAAACGATAAAATGGAGTATTTGCGTACTTAATATTTTGCTGACAGCCATCTACGAATATTACCTATACTAAACCAAAACATAATCTCGAAAATTTCGTACATAAGAAATCATTAATTACCTGTCAATATTTTTATTTATTTTACTAGTTATACAAATACACTATTTTAGTTGCATTGTAATGTTATTAAACAACGTGCCACTAATATGTCTTTATTGTGACAGAAAAACCTCATTAATAAAAACAATTTTGTGCTGATTTTTCACATTTCTGAATGTCTCAAAACCTTGAACTAACTTAACAGTATGATTCGCCCCAACCATTACAAAAGCATATTCATTTCTCAGCGGTGAAATTTAATACAACAATTGTGTGCGCATAGCTGCTCAACAAAGCTTGTTGTGTTCTACGGAATAGCCAACAAATTGTTTTAAACCATCGAAATCTCATTGATAAAGAGAAAATAACTTATATATATTGAAAAGCTCTATGTATTAGAGAATCGCAAAACAATACAGCTTTTTGTTTCAAAGAAAATTTTGAAACTGTAGTTCTCATAATATTCCATAGAGAATCCAATTGATAGTTGTTTGACACCAAACATTATATAATAAACTAACCGAAAAAGACGCAAAAGAAATTTGATTTTTATTACTTACTTACCCGCTAGTATAAAAGTTTTCGACAATAACCGTGAGAATACCAAAACTCGAACAAGAATTGCGTGCTTAAACACAGTTTTGGGGTGGGTGTGAATGTGGGGTGTGGGTACGGATCTTTGTTTGACCAATACTCACACCCATACCCAATTAATGTCCTTTGTCTAGATTATAGTTGAGGCTTGATTCGATTTTACAAATTTACAATTGAATAAGTCTTGTCATACAGGAACAAGAATATGAACAATGGATAAATGGAAAAATTTGCAATCTTCCGTATGCTAGGAATATCAGATACTAATGTCATATTGTAAATCTACGAGTACGGAAGTGGTCGGCCCTACAACAGCTTAAAATCTTGTTTTCGGCTTTTACAAATTAAGAATTATCAATAAAGTTCCCAGTCAAAATAGAATGAGCAACCGAAATGACTTATTTTTAGTAGAATCATTCATCTGTTTGATGGTATCAAGCTTCGGGAAAACACTTTTTCGACATTCTTTTTGTTGTTAAGTCAAGAAACAGTATTATTATTCAAAATGTGAGACGACATCAACGTTATTAGCATGGTCATAAATATTGTTTGCATTAGATACGTTCATGTTTCTGATTTGGGACGATCGAATCGGATATAATCTTCATTTATTTCAGCAACGAGAACTTTTATATCTTTAGTGAATTTGATTATGGTTAAAATTGCTTTACGATAATATTCTCTAGTAAGAATAGAAATGAAAATGATTTTTTTCTAAAAAATCATTTAGAACTACTTAATGGAGTATTTCATTTTAAAATGTAATTATCTTTTCACCCATTGAGATTTGAGATATGAGTGATTGAAATTTTTCACCCTCACCCTCGATGTGTTCTAAATGTCACATGTTAAGTTTCGGAAAATATAGGAGTCATTCAATATGATATGGAATAGAAACTATCTTTCGAGTTGATTTAATTTGAGAAATAAGTTCACATAAATCCGTTATATAACTAACAAGTACCTGACATCTTTCATCTAATTTCATAGTACTATTCAAGTGAACTGTCATATCTATATCAGCTACTGAGTTGATACTTGAATTAATTTTGTTTTCCATTGAACACATTTATCGAACTTTTTTGTGAGTGTGGATGAGTCTCGTTGAACTCAATATCCATATCCTACATATGTTTCGATGTTTCTATCGATATTAATAACACACTAAGTGTTACTCGTAATTCAAATGCAATGGCGATCATATGATCATAATATTCTTTTGCAAAATCAATCACGATAGTCATTCTTTTTCATCAATACTCAATACATACCTTCAACAAAAGTAAAGAAAACAGTCAGCATACCAGCCAATGAAATTTACCAGAGAAAGTAACATATTTTTGTTTTGCAGAAATATCATATTTTATTGTTCTTGAATTATAATTTTCATATTTCGATCGTCTAATTAGCAATGTACTGTTGTCTGTTAAACTTCAACAATTACTCATTATTTTATTAGATCAAAAAGTTAACTTAAAATTAAAACTGATAATTTGTTAGAAGTAAACAATGATATTCGATTTTTGAATCAAATCGACTAATTAATCCATATTACATTGTTTTATAGGATTTTCTTGCGATAATAAATAAAAATCTGAATTACGAAATTTTATTTTCATTTTGTTTTTCGTTCAATTGTGGGCGTGGGTGTAGGTGTGTAGGTGGGGGTGTGGACTCACCCTGCCTTCATCTACACCCGCGCCCACATCCCAACACATACATCCAAATCCACACCCTGCTGAATGATCGGTTGGGTATTGACATTTGTCATAGTTTTTTCTTCACGTAGAACGCTGAAATTTTTATCACATATATATCTAACAACAATCTTTAATTTTCTAAAATTTTATCTCTCTAGCCAATAATAATAATACTGGAAAAATATAAGTTTTTGAATTTGGTTTTTGTGATAACTTTTTTTCATGACTAGCGGTATGATAAACACCTGATGGAAAGGAACTTTACAAAACAAATTTTATTCAAAGACTTAAATTATCATAAAAGCCAATGTGTATAAACATGCTCTCTATTGTTTTCTATGACAAATAATGATTGATAAAGTATTTCATTCATTATTTTTTGCGAAGTTTTCTTTCGAAAATTTCCTTGATTTTTGAAATTTCTTTTTTTATAGT